TTATCAGATGTGTTATTTAAAATAAAATGATGCATAAACAAATCTAACATGCTTGGCTGCATACTTCTTACTGTTTCTTTTATAATGCCAACATAATATTACTACTGCTAAAAGAAATTAAAATTGTAGCATCACGCTGTGAATAAATAATGAAAATTAAATTCTGAAAACATTTCAAAGTATGTATTTATTCTTAATAAGTAGTGTGCAACCGAATGAAAAAGCAATCAACAACCCACACATTACTCAGTGAATTCAAAGCATCATGTATACCACTGAACACAGACCATAACCGTCTTTCTTTAAGCATTAACCATAGGTAAACACTATTCAATGAAACGTGCTGTATTTTTAAAAAAACACTTTAGGGCAGAGGTGTGAGTTACTCTATAACATTTTCCTGGTGTTGGAAGTAGTCATTGAATCATCACAGACCAGGGCTAACCTAGAGCAGCAATTCTTTTTAAAATATATACTAGTATATATATTTTTTATTGATTCCAGAGAGGAAGAGAGAGGGAAAGAGAGATAGAAACATCAATGATGAGAGAGAATCATTGATCAGCTGCCTCCTGCATGCCCCCTACTGCAGATTCTGCCCACAACCCAGGCATGTGCTCTGAATGGGAATCAAACCATGGCCTCCTGGTTCATAGGTCAATCACTGAGCCACACCAGCCACACTAGAGCAGCAATTCTTAAAGTCTGGCTCAGGAAACCTGGACTCCTCTCAGACATTACAAGGTTATGACTATTTTCATAATGAAATTACGATGCTAGTTTCCCTTTCAGCTTTGTTGACATTTGCACTAAAGCTGCAGAAGTAATGGTGAAGAAACTGCGGTGCCAGAACAGAATCATGACAGTGAGACCAAACTTACACTCCTCAATGTCACTCACACACACACACACACACACACACACACACACTCCAGTTCCAATTAAGAATGCCCTTGATGTAGTGGTAAAAATGATTAATTTTTACTAAATCTTGACCCTGGATTGCACATCTTGCTAATATTCTGGGTGACAAAATGATCCGCTCCTGGAAAAGCACTGGCTGTGTGTTGAGTTGTAAAGTGAACCAGCTGCCTTTTTCAGGGGACACGAATTTTACTTGAAGGAAAGACTGATAGACAAACTGTGGTCACTTAGTCTTGGGTATCTGCAGGCCTTTCCTCATGGACAACAATGAACAGAGTGAGCTTCTGACCTCAAGGGTAATAACTGACAGTATTTGCTGCCAACGACAAAGTTCGAACTTCCATGAAAGCATTAGAATATGAGAAACCTTGAATCCGTCACTTTGAATTTAAAATTTTCCTACCACTTAAAGACTCTCTGCTGAAGAGTGTTGGGGACACTAACACATACGGCCTTAAAAAGTGACTATGAACATAAATCGTACAATAAAATGTATCAACATTTAGAATATTTGCATAAGTCAGAACAATATATGCTGACCCCATGCATAAGTGAAAGATCCATTCAAAGCATTTGAGGTCCATTCAAGGCAGAGTAATGAATTTTAAGTAACACAGTATAAAAAGCTCATTGCTATATATTAAAATTCCTTATTTCAACTACACTGCAAGAAACTACAACTTGTAGAGTTTTGGTAAAGTATCAAAGAATATTCACAATTATCTAAAAAGCTATGAAAATACTCATCCCTTTTCCAAGTCTGTATTTGCATGAGGCCATATCTTCTTCATGTACTTCAAACAAAATGTATTACAGACTGAACAGACTGACAAAGAAGCAGATATAAGAATATAGCTGCCTTCTCTGAAGCCATACACATGAGAGATTCAAAATTATAAAAGAATGTCATACTTGGAAAAACATAGTTATTTTTAAATAAAATATTTTTATCAATATGTAGTGGGTTTATTATGATTACTAAAATACATTCAATAAATTGTTAATTTAATATACTTATTAGAAATGAATATTTAATGACTATATTAAATATTAAACATTTATCAATTTCAATATCTGATATGGTAAATATTAAAAGATGTAACTCACAGAGACAAAAGCTCTTTGACTTTTTCTGTAATTTTAAGCACATAAGGGAAGGGGGTCTATCAAACACTTTGAGAACTGCTGTCCCAGAGGATCTGAGAGGGAGGAGTGGGGACTGACTACGTAACAAAATGCCGAAGTAAGCACGCGTTCGGGTTTTATCCCAGGGTGAACTTTGAGAACTGCCGTCCCAGAGGATTTGAGAGGGAGGAGTGGGGACTATGTAACAAAACGCCGAAGTAAGCACGCGTTCGGGTTTTATCCCAGGGTGCAGAAATGTATGCCACCCACTGTCTTCTAACAAATTTCCAAGGGACCCCATTTTTAGTTATTTTCACTTCAAAATTCAGTGATAATCAAGACAAAGTGAAAACACAGTCATCTGAATGTTAAAATACCAAACAGCACCTCACACTGGGCAGTTAGTGCTGACGGACACTGGTGGTGAGCACAGCCATGCAGGGGCCCCTTTCTTGACTATCTGCACCTGTCATGCATTTTATATATGGGACTACGCCACTGTCTCTGCATCCAGTCATCGAAACTTCACGGCTTAACAACAGTACGACAATCTTTAAAGGATAACAAATGCTCACTCTCAACACTAGTTGAGGACAGTCTCATTAGTGAATTGTTTTATTAGAGGATAAAATGATAGTGACGCATATCAGTCAGCTCTTTAGGTTGTCTTTCCACGTGCCTCTTTTCTTAACTTCAGTGGGTCTCTGTCTGTCTTACCCACCAGTTCCTATGGTTTGAATTGACTTTCCCACGCTCATGACTTCTATGTTTTTCTGCCTTTGTTTTTCTCAATAGATAAGAAGCTAAATGCTGCTTCCATCAATGTTGTTAGGGAATCTTTTCAAACTATTATTAGAAAAATAGGCTCCTTGGGCCAGCATGGGGTGGGTCCAGGGATGTCTGTTTTCCTATAGCCATTTTCTAATTGAAATGTGCCAGAGTTACCACACCATCCATTGGATTAAGAATCAAGCTATTTGTCATTTGGTTGCCTTGGAAACAGAATTTAGCTTTCTTGATCTGCTATCTTTTCAGAACACACAGGTTCACCTTGGGCCTGTTACGCAAGGCACAGCTATCTTTAAAATGTACGGGTTGCTTTCATATCCATGTACGCACAGGACTGTTGGATGCTTTGATCTTTGACCGTGTTGCTGAATCAAAATGCCAACATGCCTCAAAGGTTTGGCTTGCATTGTGCCCAGCTAAAGGCACAGAGAACCAAGTTTGATCTTAAATTCAGAAAACCCAGTCTCTGTCCTTAGTGTTAGCTCCCACATTGTGCCTCAGCGAGGACTACCTTCACTGGCCTCTGTTCCCCTCTGTGTGCTGCCCTGGGAGAAGGCTGGAGGCCTGGGTGCAGGCTCCCCCTGCAGACTGGAGGCAGAGCTCCAACCAGTGTCCAGGGAGGTGCCCACTGGTGTGACTGCTGTCCTTTACTGTGGTCCCTTCGGGAGGCCGAGTATTAGTAGATGGGTTGCTTTGCTTGGAGTTTGATGTCTAAGCTTTTTCTCTGAATTGCCTCCGGAGTCCTGTATCAGTCCTCAGGGTCAAATTAGTCTTTATAGCGATCGTAATTCTTTCCATGCTAAGTGTTTCTTTCCTTCTTTCTCTGCTTTTGAGGCAATAAGGAAGAGAGTACAGATCAGAGGTCTATGCCCTTCAGATAACATGCAAACCACAAAGCGGTGTGTGTGTGTGTGTGTGTGTGTGTGTGTGTGTGTGTGTGTGTGTTCCCAAGTGTTCATGGGCTCAGGGCACAAAGCAAAGGGTCCAACAGCTGGAGGCAAGCTGATGGAAGGGAAGCCTCCTTATCCCCAGCAGGAGCCGGCTCATGTGAGATGGCTTTTGTGTGGATGTGTTGTGAAACAATAAACAGGCCAAGGGGTTGAGGGAAGTGCCAGTGGTTGAGCATGGCCTGTATTTTTTTAATACGTTCTCAGTGATAATTTGTATTCTATTAACTCATTGTCTAATGAGATCAGTTTATGCTCATTTTAACTTGTGCTCACTAAGAGTTTTCTAGGAAAAAAATTATGGTTCCATAAGAAAACATCAGTCATTTGGTTTAACTACATAAAGAGTGTGAATTATAAAAATAATTTTCAGAATAAGGGAGATTTATTACTAAGTACATTCATTAAATTGTATTCATAGTGCTGCCTATTAAAAGCTTTGCTTTAATTCCTAGACGCAGAAATGTTGCATAATTAGTTTTTTAAATTGTATGCCTAAGCCACATTACTCTCTGCTTGGATTACATTTTTTTGTAAGGAAGCTGTCGATCTATTGCATTTATAAATCTACTCTTTTTTTTTAAAATATATTTTTTATTGTTGAGAGTATTAGATGTAACTTTTCACAGATTGGTTTGGAAGCAGGAGTCAGCAAACTTTTTCTGTGCAGTGCCAGTCAGGTTTTGCGGGACAGTGTCTCACACTTACCCAGTTCCTCTGTTGTAGTGCAAAAGTAGTGCATAAACAAATGAGCATGACTGTGTTACAATAAAACTTTATTTACAAAACAGGCTGTGGGACAGATCTGATTTACAACCAACCCTGATTTAGGAAATGTAGGTTCCATGCTCCCCAGGCTCCATAAATCACAAACTCTAAATTAGTGATAGACTACATCCAATGTGAAGCCTATGTTAATTTTTTAAATATGTTTTGATTTTGTTTTTATTTTGAGAAGTAGATTTAGCTTCATTTGAGGCAAAAGTAATCTGAAGCAATTAATATTGATGTCAACCCGGGAAATATTTTTAATTGCTCAGATCTTTTCATTTGGATGTGCCACAGTATGTTTGTATGTGTCTTTTAAAAAATATATTTACTAATTTCAGAGGGAGGAAGGGAGAGAGAGAGAAACATCAATGATGAGAGAGAATAATTAATCGGCTGCCTCCCATACACACCCTATTGAGGATTAAGCCCACAACCTGGGCAGTTGCCCTGACCAGGAATCAAACTGTGACCTCCTGGTTCATGGGGCCATGCTTTACCACAGAGCCACATTGGCTGGACTGTGTCTTCATTCATTAACAAATATTTGAGCCCTTCCAATGGGTGAGGTCTTGTGTTAGGCAGTGGCTAGACAGAATAACCCAGCTAACCCCCAGGCTCCCGTGGAGTCTGAATGCCCTCAGTACCTTGTTCATTACAAACCCAGTGCTGGGCCAGGCCTGGTGCCTAGCAGGTATTCAAAGCATCTTTGCTGATTGACTGAACTGCTGCATCACATTTGACACATCTAAAGTGAATCCTTAGCTTCCCCTCAAACTTAATACCTCCTTCTGCCTTCACTGCTTCTATTTATAAGATTGTTTTCTAAGGTTTAAATCCCCAAAGTCATCTTTGGTGACAGCTCATGGATCCATCCCTTCACTCCGTCCTACATGTTATAATCACTTTAATTTTCCTACAACTCAGTTCTGATTCTGTCAATCCTTGTTCATAACACCTGGGGAGTCATCCTTGACTTTCAGAAACAAAGGCTGTGCTGCTCTTCATGAGGGGGTGTTCCATGGGGTCCAGGTTTAATGTCCCCTTCCTCTCATCCCCTCCTACCCTCTGAGACACACACACACACACACGTATTACTCATGCACATGCACACTTACACACTTATCCACACTCAAAGCCGCCCACACTACACTGGACAGCTGGCTTTTTTTCACATACTCTGTTTATTTTCTAAATAAATTTTTGCTTTGGTGTTTTACCCTTCCAGAATTCCTTTATCTCCAAATCAAAACACCATTAGAATCTATTTTGACTCGTTCTCTCTGTGGAGAATTACAAGGCCCTGATAGCGCCTGTGGAGTCCAGCCCCTGTGTCCTTACCACACCCTCCTGGAGCAGACTGAAAGCTCCAGCAAACACCTTTAATTACTCCATACAAGAATCCTATGATGGTAAGTATAAAATAAGGGATGTTATTGTCGTCATTTCATATTTAACTGAAACGAGTCACAGAGAGATTAGTGACTGGTCCAAGGTATGCCAGCCAGGCCCCAGATGAACTGAGGTTTGAATCAAGGTAGCTCATGTCCTTGACTGCACAACATACTGTCTCTCTGATTTTTATCCACACTACTGTCTACATTTCCTCACTCATATTCTGGTGAATCCAGCAAATCAGGGTCGTAGCACCCCACTCCCCAAACCTCGTGATGTGAAACCCAATGGTTCATTCTCAGTCTTCAGCAGCCCATGGCACTTGGGATCACAGCCGCTTTCTTTAGCCACTTTCTTCTCTTGCCTTCCAGAACACAGCACTTTCCTGTGTCTCCTACTTCTCCACTTGGGTATAAAACTGTATCTCAAAATGGACAAGCCCAAAACTATTTCCACTTTCCTCTCCTCCTGCATCCCAACCTGCATATCTCCTGAAATTTCCCATTCCAGGAAATGGAACCCCTGTTCTTCCCAGAACTCAGGACAAAACCACAGCAGTTGTCCTTGCCTCCTCCTTTTTTCTGAAACCACAAATTTAATTCATCAGCAAATCCTGTGGGTTCCACCTTCACGATCCTTTTATGCACATATACCAAGTGGGTTTGGAACTCAGGGCCTTTGCACTTCCAGTTCCCTCCAGCTCAGACTCTTCTCCCAGATATCTCTGCTGGGTGACACCCACCTCTTATTTGGGTCTCTATTCAAATGTCACTTCCATAGAAAGGCTTTTCCTTACCACCGTGGGTAAAGTAGCATACTGCTTCATTCTACATCTCCTTACCTTGCTTTATTTCTTCAGAACATTCTGCCTATTTGTGGTTGTATTTCCTTGTTTAACGTTCCCTCTCACTACTGTGTAAATTCCAACAGAATAGAAACGGTGTCTGTTTCCAATATCTGGAACAGTGTCACGGCCATGGTTGATGCCAATTAGTATTTGTTGAATAAAGAGTGTTAAATACTTACACCATGACTTTGTGTAAGATAGGTAGCTTGAAGAATAAACAACATAATTATTTGTAAATTAAAATGTATATTCCATGGATATACTATTTAAAGTAATCCTGTCAAGTTATGTACAAAATTATTTTTGCATGACAAAGCACAGAATAAGTCCACAGTTATATTCAATTTCTCATATTTGGATTTTCTTTGATGATGGGAATATTTTGATGTATCCTATTTTACTCTAAAATGGAGAATTCATTTCCTATTTCCATTAAGCTGTTGGGCCTGCAGCCTCACAAACAGAAGCTGCAAACACATAGGCACTGACCCAGTATTTAGGAACACTAATCACAGTGACACGGAAATGATGCTGAGCGCTTTGTACCATCCAATCTGGAGCTCGAAACCAAGCTTACTGGTCATAGGCACATTCCTGCCATAGACCACTTACAAGAGAAGCAAGTACCCAAAGGAAATACATGGCTGTTCAAATACAACATTTTGTGTAACTTTTTTTTTAGTGTTTATAAACTTAACTGACAGTTGACATGTTTTAGTTCCTTGGGTATCTCTTTTGCTCAAATAAGTAATGTTACTTCAGTTTTTATTTTACTTTTTTGCATTAGGTTTTCATTTATGTAGACTAGAGGCTCAGTGCACGAATTTGTGCACCAGTGGGGTCCCTCAGCCTGGCCTGAGGGATTGGGCCGAAACCAGCTCTTCGACATCCCCTGAGGGGTCCCAGATTGCGAGAAGGCATAGGGCAGGCTGAGGGACCCCACTGGTGCATGATCGGGGCCAGGGAGGGATGCAGGAGGTTGGCCAGCCAGGAAGGGACTGTGGGAGGGCTCCAGGACGTGTCCGGCCCATCTCGCTCATTCCAGATTGGGCGAACCCCAGCAGCAAGCTAAACTACCAGTCAGAGCATCTGTCCCCTGGTGGTCAGTGCACATCATAGTGACTGGTCGACTGGTTGAACGGCCGACCGGGCACTTAGCATATTAGGCTTTTATTATATAGGATATTGGTTTCCTCATTGAAACCAGCAACTAAATCATGGCTTTAAAAAAAATCTGTGAAATAAAGAAATTTAAAAACTAACTAACTAAATAAATGAAAATAAAAAACATCTGTGAGTGAGGAAAAAGTACAGAATACTAAACATTTAATTAGTCCAAAAATTGAAAACAAGTATCATAAAACAAAGCTAAAGGAATACTCAATAATCTTCCAAACTTCTAAAAGGTGGCACCAATTCTTAAGATTAAAAAAACATAACTTAACATAGTTTTATGCAACCTATTTTTCAGCTTAATAAATATAGAGTTGTCTTCATAATTTTATGTAATAAATTATGTCTCCTGTGTTGAAAATCATGCACACTATCCCTTTTTTCTCAAATAAATGCAGAACGTGGCAATGCATTCTAAAAATCAGTTTTATCACCTTTTTAATACATGTAACATAAAACTAAAATGGAAATGGATCCACCAGCAAAAGAGAATGAAAACCGTTTAAGCTATCAGAAAAATTGACATAATAATGAATAATATTTTACAAAACAGTGATTTTCTACATTAAAACACTGAAAAGGTATTTACTTTTCCCTTCTTGTCACTTGCAGGAGTTGTGTATGATAAGAAAGATTATTATGTCAAATCAATACTACACTCCACGGAACACCCACTGCATTTGCCAGGTGATGGTGGTAAATGGATACAGGTTTAAAGGTTCAAACCGCAGCCATCAAGCCAGGAACAAATAGTTCTGATTCACTGCTGACATGACACCCTTCTCCACCATGCCCCCTGCTCATGTTGCCATTTAAGAAAGTCCTGCCTTCACTGTAATATCCATCCTATATTATGGCTTTATCAACAGGAGACATTTTGATAATGCTGTAATACAAGTGCAAAGTTGGAATTCTGAGAAGTTTGTAAGAAAAGGAAAGTAACACAGTTGAAAAAGAAAGATGGGAAACGTGTGAGGGACCAGATTGTCTTGTTGCAAAAACATTGGAGAAAAAAGGACACTCCCCCCGCGGCTCCCCCCCCCCCCCGCCCACACACACACACACACACACACTGAACAACCACCCAGTCAAGATGTGGTCCTTTGAACATGGAAGGCTGACTCACAACACTATCCTCCCCTGTCTGATTCTAAATCAGAGGCCAGCTTCCTAGATCCAGCCTTATGTTTTCCCACCCTCTGTGGTCTTGATTGAAGACACAATGAAGAAATCTAATCCTGCCATCTCCCACCTCCATGCCCTTCAGAACAATGGAAAGGCTCGCACACTTCGCCCCCTGGTGGTGACCTGGGCTGCCCTCCCCTGCATGCACCAGCATCTCCCAGGCTGGATTCCTTTTGCTTCCTACACACATCACACTTTTCCTTTCACATCATCATGAACCTGACTTGGGAACTGCCCTGCCTCTTCTCCATGCAGCATCTCTGGAAAGCCTTCCCACCTCCCGTTCTCATTAAGTGCTCGCCTCAGATGCCAATAGCTTAGCATTCTCATAGGACTTAAACTGTCACTTTTCCACACACATCCCAAAGTTTCTTGAAGACATGGGTACATCTTACTCATCTCTGGAATGTAAATGTTATCACAGCATTTGCTGCAGGGACTCTCTGTCGACATTATGAAGGCATATTTGCATGATATTATATAATAAACATTTATGAATTGCCTTCAAAAAGATTAGTGACATAAATGCACTGTCCCACATGAGAGTTTCACTGAAGTGTTTTATATATACACTAGAGGCCCGGTGCACGAAATTTGTGCAAGGGGCTCAGCCTTTGCAGCTGCCGTGGCTGCCTCGGCCCTTGCAGCTACAGTGGCTGCCTCCGACCCTGGCACCCCGGCTTCATCCGGAAGGTCGTCCAGAAGGTCATCTGGATGGTTGTTCTGCTGTTTGGCCATCTGGTCTAATTAGCATATTATGCTTTTAATATATATATAGCAAAGTTACACTGTAATAATTCGTGGTTTTAATATTTTATGAAATTGCTCAATTATATGTATTTTCAGTGGCCTCTGGAATGCATACACAATGTAAGCTCTTTTATTTTGACAGTTATAGGATAAAAAAGTCTTTTATTACAAACAGAATTAAGATGTGTATAGTATAGAAGAAAACTTATATTCAAAGTCAAAATAAGTTTCTATCAAAGTATGGGTGTTTTGCTTTGGAAGTTAACAAAGCCCATGTATGTTTTTTTAATGACTTAACTTTTAAAAACCTCATATGTGGACATATTCTATGTATGGAGACACATGAACTCTAGAGAAGGTTATAGGGCATTTTTTTAAAAATCATGTAAACTTAGAGTTTAGAAAGCAAAAAGTAACATGGTCTTTACTTCTGGGAGCAGA